ATTCGTCACTGATCAGGGGTTGTTTTGTTATACGGTGATGCCGTTTGGTTTGAAAAATGCGCCTGCTACTTTCCAACGAATGATTAATACGATCTTCATTAATCAAATCGGAAGGAATGTAGAGGCATACATTGATGACATGATAGTCAAATCCAAACAACAGGAGGATCATCTTGTTGATCTCCGAGAAACATTCGCCACACTCAGGCGGCACAAGGTCATGCTAAACCCAAAAAGTGTGTCTTTGGCGTTGAGTCTGGGAAGTTTCTTGGATTTTTGATTGACCAAAGGGGAATAGAGGTCAACCCTGAGAAAATACAGGCGGTAATCGACATGCAGTCACCCCGTACTGTGAAGGAAGTGCAAAAATTAACAGGTTGCCTGGCGGCCTTGGGGAGATTCCTCAGTCGGTCAGGCGAAAAGTGTCTCTACTTCTTCCAGGCAACCAAAAAGAAGACCAACTTTGAATGGGGGGATGATGCAGAGGCGGCCTTTCAAAAGCTGAAAACTCATTTGCACTCTTTGCCAAGGCTTGTCAGCCTTTTTCCCAAGGAGAAGCTCTTCATGTTCTTAGCCGTCTCTGATCATGCCCTCAGTGTCGTTCTCTTAGCTGAAAGAGACGGCATCCAGCTCCTGGTGTATTTCATTAGCCATGTTCTGAGGAACGCAGAGCTTTGGTACCCCATGGTTGAGAAATTTGGCCTTGCCCTTTACATGGCCATCAAGAAGCTAAAACCCTACTTCTTGGCGCATGCGGTAGAGGTCTATACTAACCAACCGATCAAGCGGCCACTCACAAACTTGGAGTCTTCTGGACGAATGCTTAAATGGGCAATTGAAATGCAAGGATTAGAAATCACTTACGAACCAAGGAAGGCAATAAAGGGGCAAGCATTCGCCGACTTTATTGTCGAAATGACAAGGCCGGTTGTACCGGACAATACTGACCAGGTTTGGAAAGTGTATGTGGACGGGAGCTCCACGGTGAACGGCTTTGGTGAAAGGATTATCTGTCAGTCTCCTGAAGGAGATAAGTACGAATATGCACTATGGTTCAAGTTCCAGGTCTCTAACAATGAGGCCGAGTATGAGGCCCTGTTGGCCGGCATTCGATACCGCAAGGCGGCATGGGCAAAAAAGATTGAGGCCTGCTCTGACTCTCAACTAGTCGTACTCCAGGTCAATGGAATGTACGAGGCCACTCATCCGGCCATGATAAAATACTTGCAGGTGGTCAAGAGTGAAGTTGGGACACTTGAGGAGTTCCATCTAACTCAGGTGCCCAGATCTTCAAATAATCAGGCGGATGCTCTGTCAAAACTAGCATCATCTGCCTCCTGTGAAACGCCTCGGTCGATCTTCTGGGAGGTCATGGAGAAGAGAAGTATATCTAGTGAAGACCCCATTGGAATTCTCGACCGAAGCTCCACCTGGATGGACAGCATCCGGGCTTATCTTGCAGATGACACGCTCCCTGATTCACCCTAGGAGGCGGCTGTTCTGAAGAAGGAAGCGGAAAACTTCGAGCTGAGACAAGGGGAACTCTTCAAAACTGGTTTCTTGAAACCCCTGTTGAATTGTGTTACCCCAGAGAAGGGTAAAGAGGTCCTCGAAGATTTGCATGCGGGGTTCTGCGCCTCCCATATAGGCCGCAGGTCTCTGGCTGCCCAGGCCAGGCGACTCTATTTTTGGCCAACTCTGGAGTCGGATGCTATGGAAATGGTCAAAAAGTGTGACAAGTGTCAAAAGTTTGGCAAGCTCATCCATCGTCCAGCCACAGACCTGACGGCCATCCACAGCCTAATACCCTTTGCCAAATGGGGCATGGACATACTTAGGCCTTATACCGCGGCACCAGGCGGAAAGCGCTACATATTGGTAGCTGTGGATTACTTTACCAAGTGGGTAGAGGCAGAGGCGGTCAAAAACATTAAGACAAAGGACGTTATTTCCTTCATCTGGAGGAATATTATCACTCGCTTTGGGGTGCCCATGTCTATGGTTTTTGACAATGGTCCTTAATTTGAAACGCCTCAACTCAAGACTTGGCTGGGAGAACAAGGGGTCTCAAGCTTCTTTGCATAAGTCGGCCGGCCCCAAGCCAACGACCAGGTTGAAGCCTTCAATAAGTTGATCTCAGACGGGATTAAAAAGAAAATTGAACGGGCTGGTGGTCTTTGGGCGGATGAATTACATCACGTCCTCTGGTCCATCAGAACGACTACTAAAGGGGCAACTAGAGAAACCCCGTTCCTCATGGTGTATGGTGCAGAATCTGTCCTGCCCATTGAACACTATGAGCCGACTCTTCGAGTCATGTTATATGACGAAGAAGCTAACTTGGAGGTCATGCAGCTGGCATTGGACTCACCTCCAGAGCGCAGGGGCAATGCTGCCTTGCGCCATGAGATTTACCGTCTGAGAATGACACGGGCTTACAACAAAAGAGTACACAAGCGTCCTCTCAAAGTGGGGGACTTTGTGCTACGGAAAATGGAGGCAGTCGGTAGGGAGAATGAGCAGGGAAAGTTAACCCCAAATTGGGAAGGACCCTACCGAATATAAGAGGAAGTAAGAGACGACACCTACCGCCTAGAAGAACCAGACGGCAGGAAGTTGCCTAGAACTTGGAATGTAGACAACTTGAAAAAGTACTATTTCTAAGTACGAATGTAAATACCTCAAATTTTGTCATTACAAACTTTGCTAATGAGAATATGCCTTCATTTCCAAACTTGTCTTTTTTACTATTAGTGTCGCCTGTACAAAATACAGACGGTCAATGTATTTGAATAACGTCTGTCCCAATAACAGACGTCCCAACCCCTCTGAAGGAGCCGACTGCTTTAGAGCAGTCGTTTCTACGAAATTCTTTAAGTATTATGTTAACACTTAACGAATATTTGCTTAAATCTTTAAAAGGCTTAAGGCCGGATAAAATCATTTTGAGGCCAATGTTCGGATATTAAGAAAAACAGATAGAGGCCGAATGGTCACAGTCTGCTCCAACATGAGTCAGATAACCGGCGACGCCCATTCGGGCGAATTCGTCGAGGAGAAGCATCTCCCATTTGGGTGGCACATTACTCTACAAATACATCAAGCGACCCTACCGAATGCTAAGGCAGCATTCACAATCGTTTGGTTTAATCGAAAGTGAAATTTAAAAGGCCAAGAATTTTCTAACTGTTCTAGCATAGTCGGAAAGGGTCACTATTTCATAAGTAGAGGCTATTGAGGCATTAGGCCGGATGCGCCTGTTTTTTCTCTGGGGCAAGACAGGCAGAAAACTTTTACTGATCTACAAGTCAACTAATGAGGCCCTTGGCCAAATACGCCTGTTTCTGCCCAAACGCAGGACAGGCGGACTATTACTTACCAAGAAAACGAGCTAAAATACTTAGCAGAGTAAAAAAGAGACTTGTGGGTCGGATGCGTCTGCTCTTTGCTCTTGGGGCAAGACAGGCGGATTATTCTAAAGTAAAATTAAGATAAGTTAAAACTTAGCATCTTATCTCGTCGAGGCCTTAGGCCGGATGCGCCTGCTTTTAGCTCTTGGAGAAAAACAGGCGAGGGATTTCTTTTTAACAAATTTGCTAAGTCAAGAATCTTGTATTTTGTTTGAGCCAATGGCCGAATGAAAATAATTATTCACTCGCTCCGGATGGCCGTCTGTCGCGTGGTTTGGGGCAATCACTATAGTGATTGATTGACTTAGAAACCATGTATACTCTTCTAAGTATAAATAATTTCCAAGTCAATCAATCCACTCAACCGAAACCACTCGACATGCGTCTAGGGGCAAGAACATTCGCATGGTATATAGGTTATAATACTGAGCCAAAAAACATGCAATAATTTTTTTTTAAAAGAACAACAATATGAATAACTTCAGCCAAACGGCCGAATGATTTTAGATTAATAGACCCAATCGCCACCAGATGACTGGGTAAGATTGTTTGCTGGCCACGCTAGAGAAATTGTCAAATTACCCGACCCCTCGGTCGGTAAAGATACATGGATACTCGGCACGCAGGCCGGAAGATGAAATGTATGGCCATTCGGCCGCAGAAATAACTACTAAAAAGTTTTAAGGGGCAGAGGGATTATCAGCATTGGCAGCCGCATCATCAGTTGTCGGCTGCTCTTCATTTTCATCATCCTCCTCTTCCCCGTCTTCGTCCCCAGAGGAGCCTGAAGAGGAGTCGGCCTCATCGCCATAAGCGTCATCCTTGTTCGCCTCCTCTTCAGCTTGGCGAAGGAGTTCAGCATTGAAATCCTCGTTTTCTTGATCAAACTTAGATTTCCAGATGCCAAAATCAGCACCCGACTGTACCGCCTCGCATGCCGTCCGCATGATGGTATCGTAGTCTTCCATCATTTTTTTGACAAGGGCCTGCTTCTCTTCCTCAGCCCGGGATTGGAACTTGGCCTTCAGCTGCTACTGCTGGTTCGCCAGGCGCCCCTCCAGGCGGCCAACCCGCTCCTTGGCCCTCTCGGCCTCTTTCTTGGCCTCTTGAAGAGGCTCAAGCTGGCCTTTAACTTCGGCCTTAAGGTCATTGATTTTGGAGCGGGCCGAATCCAAGTCCTTCTTCACCTGCAGGTTGGCGTCCGCTTGGGAATACATCATATCAAGGTCAGAAGCTCATTCTGAGCAATTTCAAATTGAGCTCGGTCTAAGGCGGACTCGGCTCGATCTTTAGCGGCTGTTACCTCTTTAGACTTTTCCTGGATTGGCCTTCTTAGCCCCTGGACGCGCAGCATGGCCTGGAAATGAGAAAAGAGTCGAATGGTGAAAACCAGTCGGATATGTGCTTAAATATTAAGGAAAATTTAGCTAACTTTTTTACCTCACAGAGGTTCCCCAAGATGGAATCCAAGTTAAGGGTGCCGACTCCTCTCACGGACGCCTTGTCCTCTGGATCGAGCGACCGCAGCATCTCCTTTGCCATCTGGACGACGGTCGGCCTTTGCACAGGAGTTGCAAAATTATAAGTTAGTCAAGAAAGTTCTAAGAAACTATCTTGATACTGGAATTCAATGAAGATGCGGCTCATACCGTCCGGATCAGCCTCCTCCTCCTTCCTATGACGCCTCTTCTCTCCTGCTAAGCCGACAGCAGTGCTGGGTTGCTTATAGCCACCCTTCGATGCCTGAGTGGCATCCGGTTTGCTGACCTCCCTGCCAGCTTCGAGAGTAGAGCCGTCCTCTCTCTTGGGCTTGTGAGCGACGTGCTTCAGGCTCTTGCCCGATGCACTCACATCACCCGCCCCTGTTTTTTGAATTTTGGGTTGGGATTGCTTGGAGGGAGAAGGCCTGGTGGAAACACTCTACATGAACAAAAAGCAAGGCATCGGAAAAGCAGGCGGGCAAAATTTAACCTCTATTGAAAAAATATACCAAGTGTCATAAACAGCTACCTTGGGAGTTCCGACTGCTTTCTGCTCGTCATTCGCCCTGTTAAGGACGATGGTGTGGTACTTTGTTGCAGAGACGGCAACCGGCTTCTTTGTTGCCGAGAGCTTTTCCATTGCTTTTTTCTGCACCAAAAAGAAGGAGTTAGGCTTTATAAACATACACTGAAAACAATTTAAAGTTTGCATAAAATCAGACGGCCGACTACCTCTCGGCATCTCAGAGCTTAGACCACAAGCGGCCAAGAACACCCCATCTTCTAGCCACTTGTAAAGGGGAATGTAGCTCTGGGGGACGACTATTTTTTCCCCATGCTCGTTTGTCCGAACGAACACTTTGTACAGACCCCGGTCAAAAATTTCCTCCTAGGCCCGCCTAGGGAGAGGGGGCAAGGCGCTCTTGCCAGCCAGGAGGGGCGGATCCTTGTTCCACCGATTGTATTTTTAGTTCAGTCGGCTTTCAGAGGAATGGACAATGTATAACTTTGTTCTCCAGTCCTTCCATTTGTTCTCTTTGCCGACTGCCATCATGTACCCCTTGCAGGTGGTCAAGGTGTACCAGCCTTCGCCGCCCTTGGCAGGCGCTCGGCTGAGATAGTGCATGTGGGCGAATGCCTATAAGCTGGGATCCACCTCCAGCATTTCACATGCGGCAACGTACCCGATGATATTTATCCATGAATTTGGGACAAGTTTCCAAATACCCAATTGGTATCCGTCCAGTATCCTCTCCACGGCCGGATGGAGAGGGATGCATAAACCAGCCTGAAGGACTGCCTCGTAGCAGCCGAAGGCTTTGTCCTTATAACAGGCCAGGGAGGGCCAGGTTACAGTATCCTCCTTGTTGGGAACGGACAAGGAGAAGCCATGCCCCATTACGGTCTTGCGCCTGAAATTGGCAAGACCGGATGTCATGGAGGTCCGCTTGCTTTGCGGAACATGGTGATAACAGTTTCTATTTTTGCTCGGGCTTCCTCTGAATTAACTGGGGCGCTATCAGAAGATGACGAGGCCGAATTGTCATCGGAGCTATCCCCAGAGATAAGGGACTGCCGGCTAGGGCCAACAGGGTCCTCCCCTAGTCTCTCCTCCGACGCCTGTTCTGAAGGCTCGGCCTGGTACTGACTGTCGGCCTCCCGCAGTATAGTATCACTGGGGGTGCCGCTTGAAGAAGGGGGAGAGTAGTAAGTTGGAGTTTGGGGAAGGTCAGAAGAAGGGTTTGGGGGGTGCTCAGAAATCTCACTAACTAGCACCCTAATGGAGCCGTCTGAATTTGGAGTCTCACTGTCCGAATGGTAAAAGGAACCATCTGGCCTATATCTCCTTGTTGTTTGCTTTGTTCGAGCCATCGCGTCCTGAAGATGCAAGAAACTGTCGGATTTGGAGATGTACTTAAAGGAAAGTTCTCGAACGAGCATTCGACACTCCTAGTTCTAGATTCAGCCGTCCCCGGTGACCGGCTGATCGCTAACCTAGGCCGTGTCGTGTACGTTTGGGAAACCATTTGAATAAATGAAAAAGGCAAGAAAAAATAAAAGAAAAGAGCAGGCGGTTACCTTAGAAGAAGGTATTTGAGACGCCTGGTTGGCTGAAGCAGTCGGACAGGAAAGCCGGGTGACGGATGCTTGACAAAGTTAGGGTCTTTGAGAGTCTTTGAAAGTCAAAAGTCGAGAGATTCTCCAAGATTCGCAAAGGTGTGAAAACGAAAATGAAGTCAACCCTCCTATTTATAGAAAGGGGAAACCCTAATTTTTCCCCCCAAAAGCAATTTGAAAATCCAACCAGTCATAAGAAGACACCTGTCACAGGTTCCACGTGCAATGCATGTGACCCCTGTGAGGGGCAAATGATTTGGGTATTTTTACCCGGCCAGGTGGCCCAATTAGAAAATGCCATGTGTCCTCAGTAAAGGTGTCATTTGGACCTATGAGATGATGACACGTGGAGGGCAGACATTCCTCTGCCCTAAACAGACTGATGATCTAGCATGGACCAATCAGAAGGCGACGCGTGTCACCCAAAAAGATGCCCAAAGGCATTTTGGGCTCAGTGACACGTGTCACTTAGGCATTGCCTCTGGAATGGCGGCCTTCAAGGGCCCAAACCTTGAGGCCCGTTTTGCGGCGTGACCTAATCCCTAGGTCACCAGATCCTAGGGAGGGCACACTTTCCAAAAGAACCCTACAAATAGGGACATTCTTACATTTATGACGAGACATAATACACACGCAATACGAGACAACACGTCACTTTTGCATTTATTACAGAGCTGTCGTTTTCAAGGAACAGACAACACTTTACCTGAGCTTGGAATCCGAGCAGATAACTTTACTTCCGCAGTTTTATTACCGAACGTTTACTAACTTAATCTTCGGAGGCGGACCACCGACCATCCGGCGGTCCGTTTGCTTTGCTGGTACAGGTGTCCGTTGCTGAACCCTGTTTCAGTGTTGTAACTCTCCCAAGGGACAAAAACCCCCGAAACACTTTTTTTTTTAAAATAAAAAAATGAAAATATGATAGAAATGATTTTCCTTAATATAGTTAAAACGAAAAATTAATTCCCCTTGTGCATCAATTATAAAAGAAATTCTCAAATAATTGTCCATCATTTATTAAACAAATTCTCAAATAATTGTTCACCTAGGATGGATTATAAAGGGGTTTTTATTTTGATTTAGAATAAATAGCTAACATATTTTTACACTTCACATTGCATGTTGGTTAATAGGTTAGTGGTAATGGTCGGCAACAAACTTTCGTTACATGTCACATTCTTGTTGATTTATAGGTTTATGGGTTAATAGTATGTAAAAGTTGGGCCTGTTCTCTTCAGCTTAATTTCAGTTCAATTCAGTGTAGCTCCAATTAATTTTGTTCAGTTCAGTTTCTAATTTCCTCCTCACATAAACAATTCAATTAAGCTCTATTCAGTTTAGTTCAGTTCAGCTCTATTCAGTTCAGTTCAGCACAGTTCAATAAGTCAGAACAGTTACACATGAATAAAGTTAATAAAGAGTACATGTTATCGGATTTATTATACTCCGTAAATTATTAAGTGTGTGACCATAATTATTGTTGGCAATTTAGCAAAGTAAAAAAAGTATGAACATTAAATGTAGTGTGAGCTTAATAAAAGTTAACACGGAGGATTAGTGATTGAGTATAAGGCCCCGTTCACTTCACCTTATTTTTGCTGAACTGAAATTATTTTCACTTAAACAAAATTATATTTGCTAAACTTCAATTATTTTTACTGAATTTAAATTAATTTTAGTGAACTGAAATTATTTTTAGTGATTTTCTATTATAAGTCTTCTTCAAGATAACTGAATTTTACTGAACTAGACTTATTTTTACTGAATTGAAATTATTTTTACTGAAATGAAATTAATTTTACTAAACTGAACTTATTTTTACCGAACTGAAATTATTTTTACTTAATTTCATTTTTTAAGATGAAGTGAACAGGGACTAACACACATTTATATTGCTAAATTATTTTTTTAAGATGAAGTGAACAGGGTCTAATAGTGGGCCTACTAACTTTTTGAATCACACAGATTTATACTTATTTCATATAAACTTATCATCCTGAAAATCTCTCTTCTATTTTTGTTTTTCTTTCAATGGTCTTCCTTTTCAATAATGTCCTTTCTATAGGGCATGAGAATTATTCATATATAACATGTTGGCAGACAAAATTGCCAAAAAGTTTTATACAATTTGCAATTAGGATTGCTTTACCTATAACAAATACATCTAAAAAACCAATAGAGAATATTTGTGGGTGAAGTTAGACGAAGGCCCAGTTCTATTCACCATACAAAAAATATATTAAGTAAAAATTATTTCAGTTCAATAAAAATAAGTTCAGTTCAGCAAAAATAATTTTAGTTCAGTAAAAATAATTTCAGTTTTCTTAAAGAAGAATTATAATAGAAAATCAGTTTAGCAAAAACAATTTTAGTTCAGTAAAATTAATTTAAGTAAAAATAATTTAAGTTCAGCAAATAAAATTTTGTTTCATTCGATTCAGCATAAATAAAGTGAAAAGAACGGGGCCGAAGTAATAATTCAAAGCTAGAAAGGTGGTGAATAAAAGTTGATAATAACTATTTTGACGATAATGATGGCAACAATGGCCACCGTCACGGTATTTGTCATGTAATGAAATCTAGGTTTCTTTTAAAGGATTTATATGTTGGTTCTCATATTACCTTCTAATTTAAAATGTTCGATGGAGTTGATCACAACTATCCCAACTTAGAAAAATTTACTCCCATTTACCTCGAAATAATATAATTCTCCGAAAACCTTTAGTGTTTTTCCATAAAGTTAAACTTCAAAAGCAACTTATGTGATGAATCTCACACTTTACAAGTGGAGCAAAATCACAAGTGGTGGTACACATACAAAGCTTGTATGTGAAGGCCCACATACAAAACCAATGGGTGTGTGCCATGTCAAAAGTGAAGAAAAAAAAGAGGGGGAAAAAAGAGAGGGAAAACAGGTAAAAGAGAGGGAAAAGAGGAGGGAAAATTGGCGCCCTCAAGCGTTGGAGGCGGGAGATTTCCCTTCTAAACTAGTTATTGGCTCGGGCGATGTCCCGGGTCATTATAAATTTTTTTACTTTAATTGAAATATATATATTTTGGATTGTTTATCATTGAAAGCTTAAGTGGAGGTTTTTTTTTTATATATTTATTTAATATGATAGCTTAATTAGTTTATTGCTTATATGAGTTGGTTTGATTATAAGAATAATTTTTTTACATTAAAATCATAAAAATATTATAAATCAAATCTTTATAAATTTGATGTCAAAATATATACTACTTCATAATGCACAATAATCTTTTACTCTATGATTACAATTTTATGAGTTAATGCACAAAATAAAAATGGAGTAATGTTTAATTTCTTACTAACTTTATTATTATGTAATTATTAAGGAGTTATAATCCAAGGGAAATTGTCATGCATATGAAGAGTTTATTAATTAAGCTTAACATTAATATATGAAAGTTAATGCATAGAGTTTTTCAATAATTAATGCTATGGTATGATTTGGCGATGACACATCATATATTCATATGCCAAATGGCAAAATTGTTAACACATGGCAAAACATCATGTCTTGCCATGAGTTTTAATATATATATTGATTGGCGCAGCTCTTCCTTTGTAAAGTTTTATAATTTATTAGTAACCACACCGACTTTTGTAGTATCATCATCTCGACAATTATTCATGTGCTTCACCTTATTTAAATGATGGATTCTCTTGTTTCACGTTTAATTTTTTTTTTTTAATATCTAAATCTGCAATTCATGTTACATTTTGTTATTCCGTGAATTATACCACAAGCAAAACAAAAATATGGCAATATTTCATACTTAAATTCCACCTTCACTTCCTTCCCATGTTTATCTTTAATCCATTGATGTCGTCTAAGAGGTTTACGAACATCAATCATGATTCAAACTTTTCGGAAACGATTTAACCCAAAAAATCGTCTTCGATTTCTAAATATTCCCCTAATCCCGTTCTTAGGGATTTTATATCTTCCGATGCACAATTAAAAAGAAAATTGAAGACTCTAATCCAGAAAGGCAAGTGCGTTTAGGGAATACTTTTGGGTTGTTTGTCCCCTGTAATTTCCTTCAACATCAGAAGGTGGTTCTCCCAACATCATGGTAGTCCATTCAGAGCTTTCTCCTTATCCCTACCCTACAATAGAAGAATTGAAAGGCATGGAGATTTGGTCCAATTGAGCGAATAATCAAATTTGGTTTTTGGGTGGGAGTGGGCCCCATTAAGTAAGCCAATGAGAAGCTGCCAGCAAGCTTTGTATGTGGGCCTACACATACTTGCTTTGTATGTGTAGCCTTTTTGCAAAATCGCATAATGGGTAAGTGGAAACATTGTGCTACTTCACTAGAAGTTCTTCTCAAGTTGGTCAATTCTACATTGGGTTTGGAATTGAAGGTTTACATTCTATCATCATTAGCATCTATTAATAGACAAATTGGTTTACATTCTTCTCAGGTTTACATTCTATCATCATTACCCCACTTTTTATCTCCTTCCAACGTAAAAATGCAAAAGAGAATCCTTTATACAAGTACTAGATTAGGTCCCGTGCCATGCATGATTAATTTCAGTATTATTGTCAACAAAAAGTATGAACTAAATTATCAAAATATTTATTAAAATGAAACATATTCATGAAAAAATCGATTAGCTAAATATGTATTTTAAAGTTAAACAGTTGAGCGTATGAATATTTTTTGTATTTTTATATATGTGGTAATGTAATAGTGTTATTTTTCTTATTAACTAAATG